TTAAATTTCATGGGGGCAACATCAATTATTATCTTTATGAAATTTACAAATTTCATTCATCATCTCCATGAATTTCTTTTTTCGCTTTCTGTTAGGTCCCCGAGGAAACGATTAATGGATGTTTATTTGGTACTGATGAATGATTTAAATGATTTGAACGGATTTGATTGATTTGATTGATTGATTGATTGATTGATTTGATTGATTTGATGAATGAATGGATTGATTGATGAATAGAGATTGACGAATGAATTTTAATTGTTTCTATTATGATGTAATTTCAAAAGATAAACTGACAAAGAAATTATTTTATCGTTCGTTATTATATCTATACATAGTAATTATATATATATATATATATCTAGATATTTCCGTATATGTTTAATAGGCGATGGATAAATAAATCTTATCAAAGAACATTGTCTCAGAATGCTGTGACCACGTACGTAAATTTCAATGATCATTGTTCTAAACATATTGTTATATGATAAGAATTTATTAAGCATGTAAAGTAAATTTGAACTACTTCAATTTTGTCAATGAAAAGTTCAAAGATCTTTAGATATAATTGGTAGTTTTATTTAAATAAGTTTTTTCGAGAGAAAATTGAATCATGTTAAAATCACCCAGGGTCACCGAGTTATACGAACGGGGCACAAATAAAATTTATTTTTAAGTCGTATAATCATCATTATGCCGCAATAATACTAAGCATTTAAAATTATTTCTTTGTTAAATACATGCTTTGTTTCGTATATCTAAAAAATAATAATGCTAATGAGAATAAAAAAGAAACAAATCTAAAAAAATATCTTTTTTAAATCTGCTACAAAATGGTTCCTGATTCCTTGACGCATTTCATTGGATAAGATAAATTATCTTTAGTTTACAGTTATGTTACAACTTATGAAGCATAACTTTTCATCATCCTTATCATCTTTATATTATATCATTAAATTTTGGTTTTTTATTTTAAAACCCATTATCACCAACAGTGCTACGAGCAATTAATGAGAAGATCGTCAACTTTCACAAGAAGTTCACGGTATGTTGGTAGAAGAAGTCTTCGTGGTCGACAATTGTTCTCAACAGTTTTTTAAATAGTCTCATGAAAAATAAGTTTGTACGATTCTGTTATCTCAATATACAGTCCATTGCTATTGTTTGCAGGTATGAGCTTTGTTATATAATGACGTTAATCAATATGAATAAAATGATGCAAGCAAGTCGTGGGATAGCTATAGAAAGAGTTATTTTAACTGAATGTAAGAAGTCAACAATATCTAACTCGCTATCATATCTAGTACATTTGCAAAAATTTATGATTACAATATGAGCGATGCTTTGATTTCTCGAACAGTTATATAGGTACTTGTTGCGTTGTTGAGTACCGGTAATTTTTTAATATAAATTCTGTGATTAACGTATTTTTTGTCTTTTGGAAAAACATATCTCTCATTACTTTAGGTGTTTTCAAATCTCACTTGAGGTAAAATTTGGCAGCTATTTCCATATATTGAGGAAATAACTACACCATTCCAATTTCTTGAACAATTATTATGTAGAAACAACGGCTGAAGAGATAGGATAGTAAGAAATCAAACAATTTGCAGTCATTTGACCGTGCAATAATATTATACCTTTTAAATAATCTATTTTCATCCACGAGGGCTCGCACATTGATTTTTTTCAATAAGTGATATATTTTGACCTGAATTCCATTTATTTTTATTTTTATTTTTATTTCTTTATCTAATTGCAGAATTACCCTGAATGTTTAAATTATTTTATACTGTGATGACAAAGCTGTTTGTTTAAAGAACTAGTTAAGAAATATTCAGAGGGAAAATCAGTGCCACGTAAGGTATCAGAAAATACTATAGAGAAGATGCTTTTCTCTTATCTTGGATCATCAAATCGTTTCTACGAAGCTCAATTGTCACATCTTCCTTATGTATTGAGGAATGAAACGAGTTCACACTGCTATTCATTTATGACATTATCGAAATGAGTTCATTAATCACAATTTTAGCAAGTCTCTTGTCTAAGTATTTGCTCGAATGTCCTTTTTAAATAGTCTCTTGAAAATTATTAATAGTATTATTTCATGGGGATTCATCTGTCCATGGTATTTTAAATCATTCAAAATTGTCAAGAGCCAACATCTTTTTACAATATTTTCTTTCTTTTGTTCAACGTCCATAGTAGTTGAAGTAAAGGTTAAACGATGAAGATGATATTTGACTTCAATAATACCATAAATATTTTACATGGAATAATTCTTCAGGTTTCAACTATTTTGCGGTACTTTAGGTTATTCAAAACGACCAAAAATTTATAGATCTAAATGTTTCGATTGAAGTCGAATAAAATAAATATAAATGCAAATTTTGTTTTTTTTTTTTATTTAAACAAAACTTATTGCTATTGTTGATTTTTTTAGTATAAACTAATCTAATTAATATTCTGATCGTCGTTTTTACTGTCAAATTGGGATGGATAGATACTTCCGAATACACTTGACAGAATTCTTTTTTTGTTTCCTAAAGTTCCATACAACACTTTCTTGAAGCATTCCTAAAGATATGGATTAAAGACTCTGAGCACATTTTTTCATAAAAATTGCCAAGGTAAACACAAATGTTTTTTTTTTTTGACGGCAGCACATCAAATGATTGACAAATAGGCGTAATAATTTTTTTGGATCTATTACTATCATTAATTAAAAAAAAAACTCTGGAAAAAAAAAAATAATATGATTAATTAAACGGTCAATTGGTTGTTATAATAATGATATAATAATATAGTGTGTTAAATTGAATTTTTTTTAGTCAAGGAATAAATAACAAATAAATAAATAAACAAATTTTTCAACAATCTTTTATTTCTTCCTCATAAAATTAAATTTATAAATTTTCTTTCTTGACCATGCCATTATTATTATTAAATTCATCGTATACAATAATACTAATGATCGTTTTTATGTTATTAATGATCGTGAATGGTAAAAATCAATTCTCCTTGTTTATTAAAGATATTTTAACAAAATAAATATTATTTTTAAATATTATTTATTTTTATTTAAGCTTCAAAGTTGCCAAAAGAAGAATTGTCAGATTTGCTAAATCCCAATCAAAAAATTGTTTATATAACAGTGACCAACTATGTAACAAGATATGTTTCATTGACTCTACAAGAACCAACAAGTTTACCGTCATCACAATCTAAGCAAGTTCTTCCTTCTTCTTTTACAGCAAATCAAGCAACCTTATTCACTTCACCACTCATGGAATTACCATCACCATCGTCATCACCGCAGTCTCCTACGACCATAGTATCAGAAATTATTACACCAACGACAACAAATAGCCACGTACAAAAATTTGCCGATTCCGTTGTTCCTGTCGAATATACTACTTCTAATGCTGACTTATTTACATTTTCCACTCCAACGTCTTCAACTATCGACTACATTTCTACTTCTGGTACTGTTACACCTACTGGTACCACCACCGACACCAACACTCATCTTTCAATAACCACCGATCAAAATAATCCTCATACAACTTTGAGTGAAAATCAATTAAAATCGATAATAGTCGGCAAGAAATACAGCTCGACTTTAACTTCATCAAAAGTAAAAGCAACATCGATACAAGCAACAACAACAACTAGTTCGAGTGTAAAGAAACTGTTAGATTTAAACGAGATTTTAATTGTTTGGTGCTTATTTTTGAATTTTATTTTTTATTTTTCTATTGTTAACAATTATTGATGGATCAAATTTACTATTAATATAATAATTGGTTAAATAAAAAATTAAAAAAAAACAATAAATGACCAATTGTTTATGAAATTTTTAATATTTTAACTTTTAAAATAAGATTCAATGGCTTCGCTGATCAGGACATATACTGTATAATCTGCTATATAAAATCTTCGCATCGTCATCTGCAATAAAAAAATCGATGATGATCACTGATCGATCATTTCATACCAATGATGTTTTAATTTCTAATGCAGGTAGGCTGTGTGAAACAAATCTTGATGATATATCGTGCAACACTCACAATGTATACAATGTATACACTGTATACACTGTACAAACAAAAAAAGAAAGATAAACTAAACTAACTTTTAAGCTTTTTATAATATGTATATAAATGTTCTTTTGTGGTTAGCATGTTTATTCGATTTCCTGATTCCTGAGGTCTAAGATTATTTCCAAGATGATGATTGATTCTCTTTCAAACAATATTTTGACCACAATAAATTAATTAGAAAGGAAAATTCTATTATGTTGTGTTTATTATTATGCAAAAACAAATTTTTAATTTAATTTAGTAACATAAGATTACTATAAAAGCCACATATATAAATATAGATATTTTGTTTCTACGTTTATTACTATTATTATCATGATGATACGACTTTATTTGTACATTGATTTACTGATTGACTAACAGAATGAACAAATGGATCAATAAATTTCTTGTTCGTTGTTATTGCTTCAAAGACAACGACAAAACATGGAAAATAGGAAGGAGAATTTTCCAAAAAGATGAATAAATATTGATAATATTTATATTTGTGTACTAGTATCTATCGTATTGTGTAAATGACAAATTTTGTACAATGCCCGCAATGCCCGGGTGTAACGTCATACATTAATATATTTTTGTGGATAGTTTCTAAATTTGTAATATGGCTTCTAAATTTGTACTAGTTACACGGCGAATCTTGGGAGCCGCAAATTACATAATTATGCATTTAAATAATTGATCTTCCCAATATTATTATTAAAGCCTTCTATATAATATCAAACATCTTTGATGCTTGTGTTATTTTGACTTTTGCTAATGATAAAAATTGTGGGCGCGTACGCGTGCGCGCAATATACCACCCACCACTTAACAAGGCGAAAAAGTCAACAATTCCCACCCTCGTCTTTAAATTATATAATTCACGGCACGTTCCTGAGAATCAACATAATGTACTACATTTTCCTTTAAACCTAGGTTTATCCGCACAAGTCCGAGATTTTTCCGCATTATCCTTTGCCAACCAATTTATTTATTAATATTTATTTATTTAATAACAACAATTATTAAACATCATTCATCAGTTGGTTACTCCAACCAATAAATTTATTTTTATTTAGCGGAAAAACTAAATTTATATATTTATTAAAAATTTTTTTTCTTTTTTTTTTTTTCAATTTCAAAAAAAAAATTTTCCAATTTCACAAAAAATACTATATATTTTTTTTAAAATAAATAGATATAAAATATAATATGGCAAGAAAGAAATTAACAACTCGTTTAAAGGTTACAACAGCTTGTGGAAATTGTCAAAAACGTAAGATTAAATGTTCTGGAGAAACGCCTTGTAGTTATTGTGTTAAAATAAATAAACCATGTTTACCTGGTAAGCCTGGTAAAAAACGTGGTCCTCCTCCTGGCACTGAAGTCAATAAAAACCGTAAAAAGTTTATTAATACAAGTTTCTCTCAATTCAACAATTCTTATCATTATCAACAACGTCATGTTGTTAATTATTCTCCTGATTGTGGTCAAGATTATGATGACATTAATATTAATAATAGTCTTGATTCCAATCCAAATGATCTTTATGATCAACATCATCACATTTTTCAATTTAACCAAGTTAAAAGAATCAATCAAATGTTAATATTGTTGATAACAACCTTGATAACAACCTTGATAACAACCTTGATAACAACATAATAATAATAACTCTTAATAAATATATAACCTTACATAAAATAGTCATTGACTGTAATCAACTAATAAACCCAGTGTGATTGACCCCAGCCATTCTAATGGTTAATGGTCTGGCCAACCTTTAATTATTAGTTGGGAACCCTTTTAATTATTCAGATACATCTCAATGGGACGCCTTTGGATATAGTTAGTAAAATAGGACCTAGGGACCCTTTACCCAAAAGGATAAAGTAACTTTGACCATAATTCAGCAGGTAGTCTGTGTGTGGAACGTAAATTAACCTATTAAATAGGAAACTCAGATTGCACGCTTGCAATATGTTAACATTTTTATTGAAATAAATCAGATAAAAGTTTATTAGTATGATACATTCACTGTTTAGTGTTTTATTTAATAGAATAAACCAAATAAAATTATTTAATGTGTGCACCTTTTTGTAATGATTTTTATTTCTTTGTTAATAATATTGAAAACCATTTTATTATTATATAAATTTAACAATTAATATATTAAATATATAAAAAAAAAAATTTAAAAAATTACTAGTGATTTTGTACATCCTTGTGTCTGTCTGTATTTGGTTTTTTAAAATTATTAATATTAATGTTACTAGAGTCCAAATAGTCAATGCTGCTCTCAATAAATCCTATTTATGGCACCATGTTCATACCTTCTCATTAACTAATAACATATGAGTTGCCCAAACTGCCAAAAAAATTTGCAGAATACCTCCTTAGGATAGGCAATGGAACAGAGCCTACAATTGAAAACAATCTAATTTGGCTCTCTGATGAAATGATTGTTCATCCACAAAATGGCAAAGATCCCATTGATCTGCTAATAGATACTGTTTATCCTAATCTCATTGAAAATTCTATGAACATTACTTTTATGATGGAAAGAGCAAAACTAACCCCATTAAACAATGATGTTGATGAAATCAATGGGTGAATTATGGCCAAATATCCTGGAGAACAATATACATATTATAGCTTTGATTCAATACCAGAAGACAAAACAAATCTATACCCAATTGAATATCTTAATTCCATAACATCTCAAGGTCTCCCTCCACATGAACTCACTCTGAAAGTCAATGTTCCTATCATGTTATTTAGAAACCTAGATCCGGTTAACAGACTTTGCAACAGAACAAGACTTATCTGTCAGCAATTCCAATCCTGGATAATTGACATTGTAATAATATAACAGAAGACCATCAAGGTAAATGTGTATTTACCCCTAGAATTCTGCTTATGTCAACAGAAGATACCAGATTACCTTTTGTTCTAAAAAGAAAGCAATTCCCTGTATGGCCAGCATTTGCCTTGACTATCAACAAATCTCAAGGTCAAATGCTACCCTATGTTGACCTATATCTTCCACGGCCCATTTTCTCTCATGGACAATTATATGTGACTATGTCAAGAGTACATAAAGCATGTAATCTCAATGCATTGGTAAATAACAGAACAGGCCGGAATTTATACAAAAAACATTGTATATAAGGAGGCTTTAAGACTATAGTACAATAGATAAAGAAAAAATATTCACAATGCAAATTTTATATTATAATAACACAAATACCACTGTAATTATTTAACTACACAAAATATATAACACATTAATAATAAATAAACTGACATTTAAATTTATTTTTATAACATTAATATTAATAATTTTAAAAAAACCAAATACCAGACAGACACAAGGACGTACAAAATCGCTAGTAATATATGATTTTACAATAGTCATCCTATAAAATAAGTTCGTCATATGATAAGTTACAGCAAGGAACTGATAGTATTACAGATAAGTTGATTAAAATATCATTTATAAATTCAATTTTTACGAAAAAATTTAAGAATTGAACTTAAAAGCTAACTTTTTTTTCAGTCAGTAGAGACTCCGTACAACTTTCAATTCCGTACACTATTTGTTCCGTACATTTTTTATTTTTATTTTTTAATTTTGTACGGAACGGAACTTTGTGAATTCTGAAAAGTTGATTGGCGGGGCCAGTCTGTACAATCTTCAATTCTATATATTTGTTCCATACAGAGCATGATTTACTACAGAGGCGCAGATGTGCGGAATACGTGAACCTGTATAGACTCTTTTTTTTTTGGTATAATATGAGACTATTTGCAACATGTCATTTTTATCATTTTAAATATTTACTTATTATTAATAATACTTGTTTTGTTTAATAGATATGTAATTAGTATTGCTTGCTTATATAATATATATAACATAATATGTCAAGAATTCGTGAAAAATAAATAAATAATAATTAGTTTAAAATAATTCTTTTTTTCCAATAAAAAAAAGGAAATAGGATGAGAAGTTGGGAAGAAAATGAAAAAAGAAAAAAAAAGAAATGAGTATAAATTAATTACAAAATAACAGTATATAAAATTTATTCAATTTACCTAATCCCAAGGCATGTGAGTGGCGAGCACCAACAGAATTTAACGCTTGACCAACCCCAGTGATCGTTGTGGCAGACACATCAACCAACGATTTGAAAATACTATCGCTTCTTGAGTGAGAATAATTTGCCGGATATAACTCACCATGTAAAAGCGGGGTGGCAATATCTATAGATTCGTTTAGTGTATGTCTACGAGGTGTAGAGCTGGAAATTGGTCGATGGGTATTGAATGAAAAGTGTCCATCAAAGTCAATAGGTGAATTATATACGCCATCATCATCTGTAATTGCAGAGATTGGATTTGGTGTCTGGGTTGGATTCGTTGAAATCAGAGTGTAGCCACGAGTTTTGTTTCTATTTGAGGTTATAAAAAAAACCCCCAAAAATGTTAACAAACATCCAACCAAGAAACCAGTACATCTCCAAAAATCCATATCAGCAAAATCATTATATAAAACAGCGCTGCCAATAATTGCTGATATTGTGAAGAGAACAAATTGTGTTGGAATTACTTCCTAAATATCATTAAATTATTTATGGGTTGGAATAAAATATAAACGATATCATAAACAATTACTACAATTGACCAAAAAATTACCGTTGAATCAAATTGGCTTAATGATTTGTTAAGATATTTAATCTGAAGTACAGCCGTACTTAACAATACAAAAAACAATAAGTAGGTTATTGGGTATGTAAACATTGAGATAAATGTCAGCGTTAATAATGAAGAAATCGATTTAGTTGCCAATACAGTGTAACCACCTAACAGTATTATTAATAATATTATTAGTTAATAATCTTAGCTCATAAATTTACAATTTAACAAATATAATAATAATAATAATAATAATTACTATAATAATAATAAATGTAATTTATCTTACAAAA